AAATGGCCCATTCATTATTAACATGCATCAGCATCCTGTGGCGAGACGTGTCGTAATTCCAGACGCAGAAGTACACATAAGGGGGAAGGGGGGGGGCTCGAGAAATCTGGCAGAGATATGCGTGGTCAAGCTGCAATGAATGTCCTGGAAGACCATTTGGAGGGTCGCAATACAGGTTGGGTTCAGAAGCGGTCCTCTGCTATGAAGCGTCTACTCTTATGAGTCCCTGAGCGCCAAGGATGGAGACAGGACTAGCTTGGCAGTAGGCGCTTAGCACGACTCTTTAGGCGATCTTTTTGCAAGATGACACCGCGCTGTAGCCTAATGACCTGCACCCTTCTGGTAGCAGCCTGTCTACAAAATGATCGGACAACTGCATTCGACTGGTGCTAGTAACATACGTCGACTCTAGAAGAGTTGGGATGGGGGCAGTGAGCGGCGCTCATTCTATGCTCATCTGTGCCATCCCGTATCAGTAATCTCACACACTGCAACTTTTCACGCATGGCAAACGTTGCTCGCTCCCCTCTTCCCCTCTCCCCGAATTGGCCACATTTTTCTATCTCACAAATTTCTCGCTTCGTATCGAATGCTGCCGCTATCTCGGCAGGAGGGCGTATACGAACATAGAAGTCACCAAAAACTTCCCATCCATGCGACTTCATGGAACTTTAGTTTCGTTAGGAAAATCGATTGCAGTAGCAAAAATAAACTACCTGACAACGTCCTCGAGATTGATATACTACGTTTTCTAGTGTTTTAATATCCTCAAATCAAAGAATCAGGATATTCAAAAGAAAAATTTTCGAGGTCACCATTGATTTTTTCTGGCAAAAAAAGAGAAGCACGAAAAACCGTTTCGGCGAACACTTTTGACCGCTACTGTACATGCATATGTGATGGTATTCTTGCACTAGTAGTCCAATTTCACAGTTGCGTTTTTTTTTCTTGTTTATTTATATTGTTTTGAGCTTGTAAACACGTATATCGTAACAACAGCACACTTCTTCAATTAGAACCCTTATGAATTCGAAAAGCATTAACAATTAATATTAGAATCAGATCGAAGGGGCGTTCTGATGCTCAACTTTGTAGGATTTCTCGAGGCGCAGCAACGCGTGCTGTTAACTCCGCAATTACGTCACGTCTCATCACAAGATACCGAAGTTCAGTTCCATCTCCATTCCCGACAACGAAAGCTTGCAGGCTCCTTAGAAGTGAAAAGAGAGTAACAGGGAGAATGTACTCACTGGCATCGAGTCCATGTGGAAGATCAACGATGCGAACAATGTAGTTCGCGTAGTCCGTAAGCTTTTCACCACCTGTAAACGTTATGTAGGTTTCTTGGCCAACAACCCATGGCTCATAATATATCTAAAATGGAACACGTTAATCTCCTGTCAACCCAAATCCCAGAAATTGAAGAAACTTCACCATATCAACAAGGCCTCCACTACCAGGAATGTGTGCAACCGCACGGTCACTGTCGAATAATCTAGTGTTATCAAGAGCACTTCTGACGCTTCTAGAAGATTCAAATACCGCATATGCGCTACCTAAAGGATGCATTTCATATTTGAGCAAAGTTCGTTAATCATGTACAGTGTGTTACCTGCAATAGGTCTGCTAGAGATGTACCGAGGCCTGCGAAGCCATTTCACTGCCACAGGTCCGTAGGTCGAGAAGAAGTCTTTCAGAGCACCTAGAAAAATACCAGCAAATCAATATGTCCTCGTGAAACAGAAAAGTGAAGCAATAGGAAGGTGACTAGACTAGCAGACTAGCAGTAAAAGAAAGCTGCACGATGTGAACGGAGGAAGTGACGCTCAGCGCTTCACCGGTCCGCAGATGTCACCTCTACGTTTCGGACCACCTTTCATCAAAATCATTAAAAATGGTCTTTTAACCCTTTGACGACAATGGAATTTGCACGTAGCTTGCTCGTGGGACCACGCCTCTTTTTGGCGCGCCCAACTCTCGCTCACAATTGGGCAAAATTGTCCCTCAAAGCAGTTTTTCTATAGAATTTTTGACTTTAACAGTATATACCAGATATAACTGCAGTTCTAGGCTTTCATACTGTATATTGTTTTCAAGAGAATTCCAAATTTGGAAGGGGAACTCGGGTTTTAAAGGGAAGGAGGGCAAAACCTCTAAAAGTTTAAGTGTCCAAGAGAATTTTCGATACACTTCAAACCCCTTCCCATATCTGAGGCTATGAGAAGACGAAGAAGTCCTGATTAGTAATTAATCTTCAGCCTAATAATGCAAAACCCCAATTAATATGCTGGCGAGCTAAATGGCACATTCTAAAATTCTATATAAATTAGCTCTTAATAAACATTTCTGTAAGCCGTGCTAGTCATAGATATTATGGAACTTGCTTATAATTATTGGGGTGTTACAAATGTTTTAAATGCGCAAAGAAGGAAATTTTAAGGTGGCACCCACCATTGGGTGCCATTGTCCCACGCGGCGAACATAGTGGCACCCATCGGTGGGTGCCGGTCTCCGGACATCTGTCAACCGTGAGGCTAGGCAATTCAGCGTTTTGTTGTGCTGTCTGGGAGCTCTCACACAAGCGCACTATTACAGAATCTCCGCTTTCTTTACCTCCTTCAAAAGGCTTAGTCCCACTACCACAAAGAACGTCTGCTTTTCCTTCTACACTCTCACCCCCTGGTTGACAGAAGCCTTGTAACCGTGGGTGAAATTGTCGTCAAAGGCTAAACCCTAGAAACAATGTCCAAGATTCAAGCACATAAGCTAACGACGTGGAGTGCAACTGGTGCTAAGTGGGTTTGGGGGGGGAGGACCACGTGACGGTGCGGCGCTCTGTTCGTCTGCTCCAAGGCTTAACCCCGACTAAGCCTTGGAAGAGAACACGAACCCAGCGCCGCGCTGCCGCGTGCCCTCCCCCGATCCACTTAGCACCGCGTAATTTCAATGTATTCCTTACCTAATGTGACTTCAGGAGAAACTGGTCCGATGTAAATTCTCCGAGAATAGCGGCAGTAGTCGTCTGGTCCAACATCAGCATGATAGTGACGGAGGCGGTAAATACCATGTGGTTCACGCATTACTGAAAGGAACTTCTCCGTGAAAACATATGTCAGACGCTATTAAGGGGGGGGGGGCCTTTCAGGGCAGACCACACTTTCAAAACGGTTTTTTGCATATTGTAGGGACGCATGTAGGGAACACAAAACCATGTTTCATTTTCGCTGAACGGTTTTTAGCAGTACCAAAAAAGAAGCATAAGGTACTGTTAATGGTTCGATCCCCCGTGGCGACTAAATTTTGCATTTGGGTTGGCGCCTACGGTTTGGTGCCAAATCGCGCTAAATGTCAAAATCAGATGTCAATTCATCGTCAGGACCATTTTGAAGCCAACAAGTGGCCGCCAACCTTGATTGCAAAATTTAGTCGCCGCGGGGGATCGAACCATCAAGGGTATCATTCACCACTTTTTTGTACTACTAAAACCGTTCAGCGAAAACGAAACATGGTTTTGTGTCCATACATGCGTCCCTACAATATGCAAGAAACCGTTTCCAAAAGCGCGGCTTGCCCTGAAAGACCCCCTTGTAAGCACGCAGGGTCAACCGTCGCGTTGTGCCGATTTCGAATTATTCACGAACCACCATCGCCACGGTCTTAGAGCCCCACCTTCCCCTCATTCATCGGTACCCATGCTATTTCTATAGTGTTTAATTTTGAGACCAGCCGACAAACCTCGACAACGCCTCCAATTCCTTGGAATCTCGCTCAGAAGAGGTTAGAGAGTACGCAAGGGAGAGGAGGCAGAAAAAGGATATTCCATCCCCTTTTCAAACTGAATCAATCGTACCTTGCGGAAATGAACTGGATATTTACAACCAAATTAGTACTATTCAACATCTTCGAAGCAATGTAACAGTAACAATAGTATACATATAATATTCCTTCTATCGACGATATCACAAGATATTTTATGGAAAAACGGTTTAAGGTTCGAGCTTAATGAATCACTCTACTTATTGCGGCCCATTACTACGCTACCTTAGAAAGTGGTCGCCAGGGGACCTGTATATCAGAGCTGTTGTGTGTACCTTAAAGGCACAGGTCGGGATCGAATTCCCCTCATGAACTTGGCCGCGGTATAATGAAGAGACAGATCGCTGCAAAGAAAGGGACGCGAGAGAGTGGCTTCGTACGAGAGAGTGCAAACACCACATATACGCGATTGATAAAGCTGACATGACGGCAGCACACAAGGCGTGGCCTAGCGCCGTTATCTTACCCTAAAATGTACTACTCCTTAACACCTAGTCCCGACCCACTGCTTTGGGAAACCGTCCATAGTGAAATGAATAAAGGCGTTAGGCAGCTGTTTCAGGCTGGAGCAGCTACTGTCGGCCACTTCAAACTTGATCGTTTTTGCGTAAACTTCATATTTCAAAGGACGATGAGGTCAATGAACAAAGACTTCCTTCCGTCATGAAGGAACTTTCAAAATATTTTGTCGTAAGACTGCTTCCAACGATGGCACCCGATGTTTGGTGATCTGGACCGCAGGCAAGTGTTCTCCCCCCCCCCACCCACAATTCCCCAGGTGTGGTTCACTAGGACAGAAAGCGACTTTTCCGCGTTTCGCAGCGCGAAACATTTTTCGCTGCGGGAACCTCAGGTCCACTGATGATCAGCGGTGGACCTGAGGTTCCCGCAGCGAAAAATGTTTCGCGCTGCGAAACGCGAAAAAGTCGCTTTCTGTCCTAGTGAACCACATTCCAAACTCCCTTTGTATGTGACTGATGCTAATGCTCTAACTCGCTACTTCTAGCTTTTCGGAAGAATCTTCCTCCATTACAACACGACCACTATTTAACTACCATGACAAATCAGAAAATCTCATATACGACCCAACCCCTAACCACAATGTGGAAAAACCAGAAGTGCGACTACACCCCCTTCTGATGAATTTCGCTCTACGAACGGTTGACCCTGGTTAGGCTGGTGTCAGAGTCCGCGATCCGTCGCAGGTTTCGCTGATTTTCGCGATTTGCGCGATTCGCGATTCACGCGACGGGTCACGGAAATCACAAGTGCCCGATCAATACTGCAAGGTGTTCTCCAATCCTGCCGCCACTTCTGCTTGATAGTGATGGCTGAATGACGACTGCTCATGATTCCACTTGTTTCATATTCAGTGTTTCAAATGTTCACACACTTGCAATTTTTGCGATCCGTCGCAGGTTTCGCGCAAATCGTGAAAAAATCAGCGAACCTGTGAACGGATCGCGGACTCTGACACCAGCTTCAGAGCGCCCGCCCTGTTGATAGCATCGTCGGATACGACCTTAGACGATGCTTTCATATACCACACAACAAGCACCCCCGACCCTAAATAAGTAGTGTGAAAATAAGTCCTCACCACGATCAACGCCATACTCGAAAAGCATGTCTCCGAAATATGATAGCGGTCGAGAACAATGCTTACCACTCCAACAAACATTGCAGACTTCGTAAACATGAGAGCCCTGGCTCCTATCCGTTTCCGGGACGAGAGTAAGGATTGCTAATGTCAGAAGTAGCAGTGTTTGAAAGAGTGTAAGGAATGCTAATCACAGAACTAGCACTAGTTTTAACACTAGTTTCAGTAGTACAGCAATCTTCAGAGCTATCCTGAGCACTGGACATTTTCTACTGAACCCACAACATGTAACATCATACAAGCAAAGTCACCTGAAGAAATCATTCGTTTTCACACTCCCAATACAAACCGAGATAGATACAGAGAAGTCAGAACTATACAACGCGGGTCTCATCCAGTAAGGGGGGGCATTGTGATGCAACGTCAAGTGGCTGCCCTCACCCCCACCCCCCTGAACTGCCTTCACTCCCCCTGGCTCACGGGGTCCCGTACTTCGAGAAACCTGTGCGCCAGGGGGAGTGTAGGCAGTCTAGGGGGTGGGGGTGAGGGCAGCCACTTGATGCCCCCTTACTGGATGAGACCCAAAAAATCAAATTACGAAAAATAAGAAGTAGAGTCGTGAGAAGAATCATTGAATCAGATCTCGTCACGCCGGGCATGGACGAAAATTTCGTGCACAACCGCGCGCTAAACCGCGTCGCGATTGACTGTCGCCTACATCTACACCCTCGAAGTTTGGGAACGAGTGTTCGCAACGACTGCATAGCTTCGGCGCGGCTTTCACCTAGCTTGCCACTGTTTCGCTGCGGGACCCAGGCCCATCTTCCCTTTAGCATCACCCTACACATGAGTGCTACTCTACGAAATATTAAAAACGTTTTCTTTGGAACATCTCGCAGTTGTGGTGAATATGTAGATCGTACTTCAAGGGAATGTGTGTGAAATCTTCCAAACAAAGGGTTCTCGGGTAAATCAAAGCGGAACGCAGCATACTTTATTTCTGCTTTATTAGCTTAATGGAGCACGCCTGTTGCCACTGTTGAAGTGTTGGTTCCAAACGCCGATTTTGTTGATGCTTGGGAGGCTCCTTTCCCATTATAACAGGCTCAAGCGTAACTGAGAAGGCAATGGTGATATAGAGCAGCTGAAGCATGATTTTCATGGGAAACAAGGACTGCATTGCAATCAAGGAAAATGGAAAGGAATCATGGCAGTACTCGTATTCAGCGGGTGTGGTTCGCTCGTACAGAACGTTTTCGCGTTCCGCAGCGCGAAACATTTTCGTTGTGGGAACCTCGGGTCCGCAGCGATTGAACCTGGGGTTCCCACAACGAAAAATGCTTCGCGCGTAGAGTCGCTGAAGGGTCGCATTCTGTCCTAGCGAACCACACCTCTACGGAACTTATGCAACACCCGGCACCTGCGCCAGCGGATCAAAAAGAGTCAGGAGTTTTTTCACCGGAATTTCGTCTTCTGGCTATTTCAGTGCGCTGATCACGAACAACGTCAATCCTTGGCGCGGCCATTTTTGGAGAGGAATGAGGGCGATTCAGGAGATGGAGGCGGGAGCCACTTCACGTGTAGTAAAAGTTTGAACATGCAAGGTTGCTATAGAAGTAAATCATTATTCAGGCGAGAGGGCGCAGATGAGGGTAGAACATTGACTTTTTGAAAGACCGAGCTCAAGTAGTTCCTGGGCGATATTGGGCCCCGTAGCGCAAATATGTCGCTAAGCGAAACTGGCAGCAAAAATGTATGCCATCGTTGTGATCAGTGCACTGACTAAACCTTATACGCTAATTAACCGTCCCTTCGGTTAGAACAAGTGTTACACCGAATTGTCGCAAAATTGCAACATGTGGCGCTGCGCCAGAATGAATGCCACATTCTTATCAGCGCTTTGAATGACAACCCAGGCGACCTAAAGTAAAAGTCTAAGTTAGAGTAAAAGTTTGGGTGGTTGCTAGTGGAACACTGCTAAAACATCTCCATTTTCATACTCCTTAGTCACCTTCATGAACAAGCAAAATTGTGACACACTCTGGAGCTCCCTCTTCGGCAAAAATTGGGTTATGTGGCCGGGACGAACCACTGCATCGCAATGCCCTCCCACCACCACAACCCCCCCCCCAAGAGTTCACTTGCGCTTATTCTAGTCTCGGTGGCTAATTGATGGTTTTAGCCACCTGAATACTAGCCACTTGACTTCCTTGACAATGCTTCAAAGATAGTGTGACCCCACTGTTCTTGCACGGAACACTGATCACATGGTATCTCAACAAGGACCACTCTACATAGTTCCATCAAACCACTTATTTGTGAGGGGCTCAGTTTCACCCAAGAATAATCCACGCAAGGGTATGCATCAGGGAAAAATCAGAACATGGTAAAAGAATGTTGGGCCTTAGCCCTACGACGAACTAGTCAAGCAGGCGCCACATAGGTACTAGGTCGCTGTTGCGGAAAACTCGTCCGCTTATTCTCCAGGATGTAGGTGTGAGTATTGAGATGTTGTCAAATTTTGTTTCATTGATCACTTGCGATTCGAGTTCGTAGCAGATATCTATCGATGCGATTTTGCGATCGTGAGCTCGTGTGATCGCATGATCGATACGTAACCATTGCACACTCAAAGTGAAAGGAGGAGGTTTCTACAAAGTATGACCGCTCCGTGACTGCGATTTTGGAGTGGAAAAATCATTGCACATCTACCCTCGCTGAGCGGAGCAGGCAGTTTATGGTTGTTTTCTGCATTAGCAAATTGCACATGATCTCTTGCAACGTTTGCATTTTCGTGCACTTCAAGCGTTAACGACCTAAGCAGTGTATTCGTACACGACGTCAGGACGTGCACAACGAGGTTTAGCGGTTTAGAGTCTCGGCAGTTTGATGATACATTGCCAGATACCTTCTCCGGAACTATTCCAATAGAAGGGGCATTCTGATGTAATAGTATCCGCCGACTACAGAAATATCACGGCACATAGGAGAAGTAAGCTCAGGTGTGGGCGACATCTTCAGCTTAAGCAAAAAAACTAGTAAAGTATTACTTCTTCTATATCGAACACATTGTTGCTCTACACCGAATCGCCTCTCCTAGCTGAAATACGCCTTTTTTCATAACTCTGAGAATTGTTCTCGAAAAGATAGTGCTAACCTGCCTCCCTTTTCCCAGCGAATAAGGTCACTCATCATGAAACTTCCTCACAAAGCAAGCGTTAAACCGCGCTCATGTCCTTGGGGGACATCAAAGTGAGTGAGCTAATTACTGTGCTTGGGACTAAGCTATAGGAAGGGGAAGGAACCTTGGAGGAGCAGTGAGCTATTTGTGTTCTCCCTGGCGTTTCTCCCCTTTGATTGGCTCGGTCCTAATGCTACCTAACATCGGCTATGTTTTGAACCCCTCCCCCAAGCAGGGTCTGTCCTATCGTTGTTACTTTTCGAAAAATTTTTACGACCCCCCTCCCCCAACGTGGATTTGATACGACCCCCTTTTCCCTACCTCCACCATCTCCATCTTCCATCAAAACCCCGCCCACTTTTTCCTCCAAAAATGCCGTCGAGCGGGGGGGGTATATAGTCACTCTGAAACGGTAAATATCTCCGAAAATTTCCTTCTATTTCCACCATTTCAACCCATTTTTACCTATACTCCCACTACTTCCTTTTCTAGGGGGGTATACGCCCGCTGAAACGGCAAATTTTTATCCTGCGCGCCCTCCACTCGCCCAGCCTACTACCCACGAAATCTTAGTTTCACCTCAATCCCACACGTGATTTCGAGCGACTAAAGTGGTACGACCCCCCCCCCTCCTACAAACTCAACCAGGTACGACCCCCCCCCTCCTACAAACTCAACCAAGTACAACCCCCCGTTGTTACTCGTAACAACGTAGGGTTGACCCTGCCCCCAAGCACATGAGCGCCAAAAAGATTACTAAAGGTGGCATGAACTATTGCACCAAAACTCCCCGTCCCCCCTCCCCCTACGTTAGTGGGTACCTTATTATTGCAACATGCCCTCCTGGCTGCGTATGCAGACTGACCAGAAGTTGCTTCTTGGGATTTTCCTTTAATTCTGCTCTGCGCATAACCAACCGCTACCCAAGTTATGGTTCTGAATATCTCACATTAAATCACTCATTCAGATTATTTCAGCTACTAAACCGGAGCAGCAAAAGTTTTGCCTGGCCAACAGCCAGATTCCTTTGCTATTGAAATATGTCAGTTAGGAGAACATGAAGTAATTTAACGCTATCATTCAATAATATGAGCATTATCATTGGTCGTGCTGAAAAACCATTTTGCCATTCCAATATCATTGTCGACCACACACGACGCAATTCGCGACTGCGTGATGCTGAAATGTGCGAATGGATTTGCGGAACGAGGAAGGTATTCCACTGATAAAAACAAGATTGAAGGCAACAAAAAACGAAAAACTTTTTAACTTTTCAACATTAACAAACTAAGCAACGTTAAGCTCGAGACAAACACAAAAAGACACAGACATACACAAAAATAAATGCGATAACAAACTACAGAAAGAAACGGTGGGGTGCTACCGTAGTTGGAGGGAGGGGCAGCCGGCGGTGTCCGCTGTTTGCTTGTCTGCGCCTATCGGTCGAGACTAACTGCGAAACGAAGAACCGTAAAGAAACGGGAACACGCCCAATTCAGAAGTAGCGGAATGCCTTTGCCTAGATGTGAACATTACGAATATTTACTTGGGTTTGCAGTTGGCTAGGCGTGGGTGAGTGAAGACGTAGTTCATCCGTTCTCCAGCACTGTCAGTCG